GTATAAAGATCAGATGTTAACAACTGTGTGTTGTGGCCTGGCGTGGTGGCTTGCACCTGTAATCCTAGCACTTTGGGAAGCCAAGGCAGGAGGATCACTTGAGCCCAGAGTTCGAGACCGGCCTGAACAATATAGCAAGACCCTGTCTCTACAAAAAATATAAAATACTTAGCCAGGCACAGTGGCATATGTCTATCCCAGCTACCTGGGAGGCTGAGGGAGGAGGATGACTTGAGCCTGGGAGATTGAGTGTGCAGTGAACAGTGATCATGTTACCACAAGCCAGCCTGGGTAACAGAGCAAGATCCTGTCTCAGGAAGAAGTAAAAATAGTTTATATGTTGACTGATCAACTACTTCAATTCTTTCTTGGGTTTGTTTTACAGAATGAGTGTCACTCCCAAAATTAAATGTATCCAACTTACTATAAACAAAAGGGGAAAAACCAGGAGAAGTAAACCAAGGATGCATTTTCTGTATATACCAAAAAGGAGTTTTTTCAATTGTCAGAAAACAAACAAATGCTAACAGGCCACTCCATAATGAACAAGGAGTAGCTAGCTCTGTAGCTGGTAGATTACTCTGAAAGGTAATAATCTTAGCTGTTGTCCTTAAAGTGTTTCAGTGCAAAGATATATGACCTAACACTGCTGTCATTTAATCCCTAGTCTAATTCAGCATCGTAACATAATGCAAACCAGACATGCTTCCTATTTACATAGGCTTTAAGCATGACCATGTGTAATAAAGCTGTTTCAGGCAAAATAAGATGAAGCCCACCTTGAAAAGAGCATGGGCTCTGAAGTCAAGACAGACCTGGATTTAAATTAAGACACTGGCCAAGTCACTTAAACTGTCACCTGGGGCCTAAATTCTTTGACTGCAAATGGACAAAATGAACCAAGACAGATTTCATAAGCTAACTTGTATAGCCAAACAGCATGAACACATGGTTAAAGACTAACTCCCTGTTTTAATAATCAATAGGCTACAGTGCATCAAATTTCCTATGGACGCACAGATTGTCTTTAGATATTAATGAGTTATTTACTTTATAAAACAACCATGCTACTGGAGACAGGCCATGGTAGTAGACTTTTGAATGTCTTTGTAACATTATCCCTTTCTCCAAAATCTATTTTTAAAGAATATTCTTAATTTCTAAGATTGAAAAAACCAAGTCCAAATACTTTATAAAACATTAGGCCATCCCAGAGTCATGGCACACAAAGAAATAAATAATGATGTCTGCTATCTGGCAAGCTCCTCTGGGCAGGGTGATGCACAGGGTCCCGAGAGCTGCCCTCTGATGATGCCATACGAATGGTCACTGGCGCCACCTTGTGGCCATAGTCTTCAACCAGCGGTCACTTTAAGCCACTCTACCCTACTCTCTGGGGGTCAAGACCTACCAAGAGGGGTCCTGCAGAAGGATCCTGAGGCGAGTAGCTTCCAGGATAGTCGTCATCCTCCTCTTCTTGAATTTGCTGAAAAGTTCGTTTCAGAGATTTCTTCTCTTCTGTTGCTACAGGAGAGAGAAAAAGTGATAAATTTGAGTCGCATATCCTGTACGGATAAGAGTCACATGCTATGCACAACGGGCCACACGTAAAAACAGGGCAGAAGGCGTGCACATTTTCAGAACAGCTTAATAGTAACCTTTATGCTAGTTATTTTACATTGGCTGTAGTTCCCTACGCTACTGAAAAGAGTCAAACAGGTCTTTGTCATCTCTGTTGATTCTCTGGTAAAATACTACAGAAAACAAGCATCTAAAGTGACACTTACCCAACTATCACACTTGAGTAAGAAACTCATGGGACAATATAATGAAGCCAGCCAACATGCTAGGGTTTACAGAGAACATAATGCACATAAAACGAAATACGTGATGTTTTCCAGTGATCATTTCAGAAAATAGGAGAAAATTTTATCAATAAAATTGTGTCAAAAATTCCAAACACAAATATTCTTTACACTATTCCTCTAAAAACAAAACAAATCTAGTTTTACCTTAAAACTAAAATAACCATTACTGAAACATGATTGATACTACTGAGAAAAATTACTTAAGTTACCATTTTTAATTTAACCACTTTTGAGGCTGACGGGTTACATTATTTATTATCTGCACTGTATGTTTTTACATTGTTATGATAGATGTGTTAATTCCAAAATTATTCTTTTGGAATCAAATTAGACAATACAAAATAAACGCCAAACTGTGAGAAATAAATCTAAATGATAAATTCTAGTTTAGAAAGTAAAGAAGCATTGGACACGACCTGTGCCTGGCATTGCAATAGTTTCCTTTCAATCTTTCCAACAATTCTAAGGTATAGCATCTCCATCTGACAGGTGAAAAACAAAGGCCAGAGAGGTTAAATGACACACCTACGGTATGACTCCAAAACCTGTCCTCTTTCCACTGCACTCAAATTACTTAGCACCACACAAGTACCCTCTCATTTAACAAAAAAGGGGGACATCAGGCACCCGCTTCGGATATATCCACATTTTTTTCTAAAAACATTTTCTTCTGGAACCAAGCCATATTATATCCACTATATACTATATTATATTCATTATATACTAACCGACCAAACCTCTGTTTGAAGTGAAAGCCAGGCCAATATCCTAAGTTTTATTTTTATTTATTTTTTTAAGATGGAGTTTTTGCTCTGTAGCCCAGGCTGGAGTACAGTAGCATGTTCTCAGCTCATTGCAGCCTCCGCCTCCTGGGTTCCAGTGATTCTCCCACCTCAGCCTCCCAAGTAACTGGGATTACAGGCACTTGCCACCACGCCTGACTAATTTTTGTATTTTTAGTAGAAACAGGGTTTCACCATGTTGGCCAGCCTGGTCTTGAACTTCTGGCCTCAAGTGATCCACCCACCTCTGCCTCCCAAAGTCCTGGGATTACAGGCATGATCCACTGTGCCTGGCAGAGTTTTACTTTTTCTTAAAGTTTTTGTCTACTCAAAAAAAAAGGAGACAGCAACATCTGCAATATGGGTTGTCCTCACTTTGTGCATTCTATTGTACACAGATTTGTTATCGCAGATTAAATGATACCAGTCCCCCAATAAAGTTCAAATTTCAGTTATCACGGCATATTAACTCTAAGTAACTGTATAAAGTACAAATTTTGCTACTGACTTCAGGCCCCAAATTGTATCAGTGGCCAATCGCATCATTCTTCAAGTCCTTCAGTGACTGGTCACTGTACACCTGTTATGCAGGTCACACAAAGACAGCAAAGTGTCTCACTGTGCTGTCTCCTTGTCTCCCAGTGATAACATCCACAACATTTTATAAAAATGAATGATCAAAAGAGGGTATTGATCATAACGATGAATGTGGAACAAAGAAACTGAAACAAAAGCTAATGCTGGAACTGAAATCCCAATGGCACATCAGTGGAGTTACAGAAGAAAGAGCAGGCTGCAGGATGCTGCCACTGCCAGCATCAGAGGGAGCCTAGATCCACAGCCAGAGGAACTTGTAGAGGCCAACTTAGCAATGAAGAAAGTGGTCGTGATTAAAAGAATGACACCATCCTAGAGGAAGAGATGCTAACAGAAAAAGTGCATGCTAAAGGAACTGAGAGGCGTTTCACAACACCGAAAGCACAAAAGATAAAATGTTGGAAGCTGATCCAAACAAAAATAGGTACAGTATGACAATTTGCTAAGGCACTGAAAAGCTGTTTGCTCTGTTAGTGTATATAAATTATACCAGAAGGCAACCCTTGCTCAAACTACTCTTTAAGTTTGTTACAAAGAAAACACACTGAAATTCTCAATGTTTTTAATTTGTTAAGTCATAGCACACTAAATAACTATTAGTTTACAATCTCTTATGTTTCCCTACACATTTGGAATCAGCAGTGAGTTTTTAATTCTTTAACCAAAAAAAATTTAAAAGCCACAGTCATTAAGTTTCCCCACTGATTATTCAGATTGCTTTGCATGGGTTCAGTTTACGTGGTCATGATTACAATCCTGCACTACTATGCAAAGCAAAGACTGCTATATTTTTAATATTAAAAAAATCTATTAGGATCTACTTTACACACGAAACACCTAACAGTACTTTGTACGCAGTAGCTGCCTAATTAATGTGTGGTGTGACCCATATAGACATTTAGCCACCATAGCATCAAAGCGGTCACTGTGGAAGGAGTGGCCATTAGAAGGTAAGTACAAACTTCAACTTTTTTGTTTTTTTATCTGTGGTTTTCTTTTTAATTATCTTAAGTCTTATGATCACACATCATTTTTAAATTTCTGTATATCTCCTCTGCTTTAATCCTTTTAAGTTGGCAAAAGCACCATTCCCAATCACAAATACACAGCAGTTGTACAGTTTTTTTTCTGAATGGCTGTTTAAAGACAATCCTAAATTATAACTTAGTTTGACTTAGATAGTAAAGAATCCGAGAGGGAAGTTTAAGTGGCAACTATTTTAAAAGCATGTGACCTTATAGATCATCTATAAAATGTGTGACGTGTTAAATAATTTTTGATATTACACATAAACCACACAAAATGCCTTTCAATGAGTAAAAGGAACCATTTTAAATAAGGGAATTCTAATTAGATTGGCAAAGTTAAGGCCAAAAATATAAACTAGCTATTGCTACCCATTTATCTTCAACCCTTGCCTTTAAGAGGCAAATGAACACAAAACACAGGTGAATCTTGCTTGGTTCTGAGACAGTAAAGGAATTCCCCCCATATTTAAATATATTCACATAACCAGTTATATAAATCTAAATATAAAACCAATCTCCAGTAAGTTTTAAGATGGCACTCACCATCTTTGCGAAAAATTTAGCATTACTAAGGAAGTCTAATCATATCTTTAGAAGGGGTAAACAGTGATAGAATTTACTAAATTGGAATTACTATTAATATCCAAAAACTGAACATACTCATTTAACCACAAGCCAGTCTTAGTTTTAAATCAGGACTGCCCAACAAAATATTCTGTCAGTCATTCATGATGTAAATTCTCGTGTATGAGATCTATTAAAGTATGGTACACATAAAAAAGTCATGAGACATTTGTTTTGTAATAAATAAGGCAGTGGCCAATTATTACTCATTAGTAGCTTTTTTGAGATAAGCTATTAAGTCTTCCCTTTCTCCCGTCTTCTTAATGCCGACAAAGATCATTTTTGTTCCAGGGATATACTTCTTGGAATTCTCCAAATATTCCATCAGTGTATCCTCTCCCCAGATGATGCCTTTGTTCTTATTGGCTTCAGTGTAAGTGAATCCAGCAGCCTGACCTGTCTTCCGCCCAAAGAGACCATGGAGATTAGGTCCAGTCTTGTGCTTGCCTCCCTTTTCCACGGTGTGACATTGGGAACACTTCTGAATAAAAATCCTCTTGCCTTTCTCAACATCACCCATATTTAATTCTTTTTCGTCGTTAGCGCAACAAGGGTTACCTCTCAGAAGTCGGACGTCCCGCTCTCTCAAACTTCAACATTTTTTTATACTGTTCTGTTTGCTTTCAAGCACCTAGAAGAATGCTCAGTAAGTAACTGTTAGATACACTAAAGGTGGTAGAAAAAAACTATAAAACCTGAAATCCTTCCGTTTTCAAACTCTCATACAGAAATTATTATATATAAAAACCAAACACTACTACCGCAAGACACTTAAGAGTTCCTGAATTCCGGCAAGGGGAGGCCTCAGACAGACTATACCTTTGTTTCTCCAATTCAAACTTTCATGGAAATGTCTAGGTTCACAGGCTGCAGTTTGCCCAAAGGCAGAGAACGTGTTAGTGTAAATCTGGGCGCTACAGACTGAAGCCTCCTTATCTGGAGCTCTCTTTCCCACGTCAACACTGCTGCTCACACACAGCATCACAAGACTCAAAAGGATTTTTAAAAATCCTTTTAGGACATGTCCTTTGCCAAAGATGGCATAAATAGGTGCTAAACATTATCATCCTACTTTTCCAGTTTTCTCCCATTTCCATTTAGAGAAGCTATTGGTGCTACAAACATAAGATTTCTGGACAAGAATTACTCATCATTTCCCCCACAGGGCTCCTCCTTCCCTGAGCTATTTCCATTATGAACACTTCCACTGACCCATCTTCCAGGTACAAGGCCTTGGAATCCACTAGAATCTATTCCAAGGTCCCAATTTCTAGCAGATTCCATACCTCTAAAGGAAGCCTTACATACTCCCTCTCTGCTCCTTCCCCTACACAGCCTCTTATCAGCAATCTGCCCTTTGTCACAGCTGGTTGAGACCAGTTATTTTCCTGTTATTTTAAATTGCTACTTATTTTAATATAATAACTTTATTATTTACCACTGTCTCCCTGCCTCTAGTTGCTCCTTTCCCAAGTCAGACTATATAATTATCCTTCAGTATCCATGGGGATTGGTTCCAGGACCCTTACAGATACCAAAATCTGAGGATACTCAAGATTCTGGTATAAAATCACATAGTATTTGCATATAACTTAACACACATATCCTCCCATATACTTTATGTCTAGATTAGTTACAGTACCTAATACAATGTACATGACATGTAAATACTTGTCACACTGTTTCATTTTTAAAATGTGTATTTTTCACCCCAAATATTTTCAACATGCAGCTGGTTGCATTTGTAGATGTGGTATCTGTGAATATGGAAGACTGGCTGTATTCCATTATTAAATTAATATTCCTAAAGTTGAGTGCTCACTCCATCATGTCCCTATTCAAAAACCTTCAGGGGCTTCTAATGAGTTTATAGACTCCTCCTAAGTTCAAAGCCTAGTGACAGTAACGGTCTCCAACGCCCAAGGCACTTGGGCCTCTCTTAAAGCTCCTGGCCTTGCTACTTTGTATGGCCACTGGCAAATCTTCTTCTCTGACAAGAACCCACAGTGTCTTATTCCTCTATATCCCTACAGTACCTAGGAAAGGGCTGACAGATTGGAGTTTGAAACCGCTTGAAGGGAGGAGTCACCAAGCTTGGAAAATGCTAGTGCGGGGTCAGAAATGACTATCACTGCTCCAAAGTCAGCAGTTATGGTGCCCAGTATTGACGGTCTAGTCAGACAGCCATTAAACATAACCTGGGATTTCCAGGTTTCCTTTTCAGAAGCTGTACATTTTTAAAAATTAAAATTATTTTAAAAACTAGAATATCTGTCAGTACCATTTCTGCATCTGAATTTAAGGTAAGCCTTCCACTATCAATTCAGCTTCTACCATGGTATATATTTACACTCCCTTTTTAACTCACTCGACCACTCTGTTTACAGGCAGGACAAACTGTGGGGGTAGCCAAAGTCCCTCTGTCCTCATACTGAGCACCTTTGATTCCATCCTCCAACTTGTCCCTGTGTCTCCAGGGGGACTTGTACTCAGCTAACCTTAAGTAATCCTCGTTACCTAAGAGTTGATAGCATGCCTCTTACAACCTGATTGTGGGAGAATTTCAGACACTATGGCAGACTGTGAAACTAACCTTAAGGCAAAACGCTGGCCTGCAGGCTCCCAAATCACATTATAATATTTAGCCATCTAGCATAAAGCTGGATCTCCTAGACGATCCACTTGAAATTTTCTGTGATTAAAAAAAAAAAACAAAACCACCCTGTGGCTCGTCAGAGTGCAGTGGTGTTTACAACTAATTGATCACAATCAGTTACAGATTTCTTTGTTCCTTCTCTACTCCCACTGCTTCATTTGACTAGTTAACAACAACAAAAACACACTTACAGGTTTTATGTAACTTTTATAATGAAAAAATGATCAGGAAATATCATTTGCATCAGCTTCCTCATTCTTTGTTCCGTCCCTGCATAATAAAGGCCATTTTAATAAAGCACATTCAATTTTACTTATGGAAAGAAAAGAACACGCCACACATAAGGGTCCAATGCTTGAGGCCCAGTTCTACAAGCTGTCTACCCTTATCATCTCACTGAACTGAGCAGCCAAATCCAAGCATAGACCCAGGGAAGTTGTGTCTAGAGCTCATACTCTTAGCTACCATGTTCTCTAGCCTCGCTCAAAGTCTGGACTGAAAATATTAAAAACCTCTCCTTACTTTTGCTACCAGTTCATATACAGAAACTCAGCATATTAGATACTAAGAACTGGCAGGGGCAAATCAGACTTGTATCATCGCCCCACTGATAACATCTAACCTGCATTATCTCAAGTAATCCTCATCACAACCCTATAAGGTATCATCATTAATAGCCATATTGTACAGTGAGAATCTGAGCTTCAGAGAGATCAAATGCCATGGCCAAGGTCACAGAGCTTTAGAAATGACAGCTAGGATCCATACTGTGGAAGTCTGAATAGCTAAAGTATATTAAGATCCAGGAAAGCTGGGTAACCAACTCACAAATTCCTAACAAAATTCAAGTCCACTGAATCCATGTACTTTCAGGCAATAAAACAGTGTGAAGAATATCGTCTTTAAAGTCATACAGACCTGGGAATTCGCCACTTACCAATTGTATCTCTCTGGACGAAACTACTACACCTTTTTGAGCCAGTATCCTCATCTAAAGTATGAAAATAATACCAAATTCATAGAGTAGTTATAAGGATCTAAAAAAAATTAACATGAAAAGCAGCCAGCAGAGAGGCTGGTACATAATGAATGCTCAATAAATGCTAGTCCCTTTGTATCTACTCTCTCTTTCTAAATCCGTCAACTATATACTACATGAGTCACATGTGGCCCAAACAAAAAAGTGCCATTCAGTCAAGCAACAGCTTGAGTATTCTCGAGTACCTTTCTCCTTTTCTTTTTAAATTTTGTTTTTAACTGACACATAATTGTGTATATTTACAGGGTAATGATGTTTCAAGAGACACCTTGAGAAGACAGGTGTATAAACTTAATACCCAGTTCTAAAACAGAATTCCTAAGGTCATGCATTCTCCAATGTTGTAAGAACTGTGAAAGTTCCATAGAAAAATTTTTATTTCAGAGGTAAACTCTATGAAGTTGCCAGAAAACAAAGAATCACCCATGAATCAAAGCTGGTATATAAAAGAACTACTCAAATTAGGAGATAAACGGCTAGAGAACTCATCAATATTTGAAAGGACTGTGGTAAAATATGCTGATTACTCAGGTCCAGATAAGACAGTGAAGACAGAGAGAGTAAGCTGGGACTAACACACATGTTGAAATCTTTTGATGTGTGTTTTCATCTTTACAGAATAGAGAAAGAGAAATTATCTTCAGATCAGCATTATCCTCTACCTAGAGGAAACTGCCTCGATTACTGTTAATGTCTGTCTAGGCTCAAAAACAAATTAGAAACCCAACGAAGCTATTTCCAGTACTATCACTGCCACAAATTCCACACATTTCCAGGGTGCAGAAGTATTCCTCACGCTTTTCTCCCGCTTTCCTGTAGCATCTAGCATAGATGTTTACTCAATGTGTCTAGCAAACGTACGTTAAATTGAAATTCAACATTAGTTTCAAGCATCCTCTTCCAAGGCTCTCTTACTTGCCCAAAAGTGTTTTTAAAAATCAGCACTGTTTACCAATGAACTCTAAGGCAAGTAAAGAACGCTGAATAATTCCCCAAAGCTATACTGAAGACCTCCAAAGGACACAATACAAACACTAGAATTCAGAGTAGGAAACATCGTGCTTTTCAGAAGCTACCTACCACCTGAGTGATCCTAAAATTATCTTCTAGCAACACCAAGTAAAACAACAATGACGTGCAGTCTGAAAGCATTTATGTCATTCACAGAAAGCCTCTCACCTTTGTTTTCACAGGAAAGTTACTCACTGTAAAATGCAAATAATTTCAGACCCGGAAAGGATCATGAAAGGTACACAATAAAGGGTTGCTCAATGAAGGATACTGTCACGCATGCTATTCGTGACTAGGTTCTACAGCAGATGCATGTACAAAGTAAGAGAACAAGGAGGGAATGACCACATGAGCCCAGACGAGCCAGGGAAGACATCAGAGTGAGAGGAGGACTCTTGGAGAATGAGTTCACCACAGTGAAAGCAAGAAGGACATCAGGTAGAGGTAACAGTAGATGCAAAGGAAGCAGTGCCAACAGAGCATCCAGAGGGGAAACTGTCAGCAATTCAGTTCAGCCAAAGAATACTGTAAGTGAGGAAGTAGCAGAAGAATCGGGAAGAGCAGGCTAGTTCAGATAGAAAAGGTCTTCAATACTATCAGTACTTGGACTTGATCCTCCAGGCAATGAGTATGTATGCAGGCAGACAAGATCTATAGCGTAGAAACATGTCATGCCAACTAGAATTAAACTACAACTAACCAGAAGCCAAGTAACTAAACAACAGTTGATCTTACTCTTTAAAAAATAACATAAGCTGTTATTAAGGGCTTTGCAAAAATTCATACATACACACACTCTCTCTCACTCTCTCTCTCCGCCTCCCCCGACCCCCCAAGGATATCCTGAGTTCATTAAAAATGAAAATCAATTTTAAGCCGGGCAC